CGTGACTGCTGTCAAACATTTCGCTCCTTATATCACTCAGTCAACAGCCCCGACGTGTGTGCTCACTGACAGCAAGCCGTGCGTACAGGCGTTCGAGAAGCTCGGGCGCGGAGTTTTCAGCCAGTCCTCGGGTCACTAGTTCCTGGCCACCATTAGCCGGTTCTGTCTGACCGTGCGCCACCTGGCTGGGTCAGCCAACCTCCCGTCCGACTTCGCGAGCAGGAATGAGCCTGCCTGTTCTGACTCCGCCTGTCAGGTCTGCTCGTTTGTGTCCCGCCTGGAGGAGGCGTCCGTCCGGCAGGTGTCCGTCGAAGACGTGATGTCCGGGTCCTGTCGGCTGCCTTTCTCCGGCCGGAGTTCGAAGCTGCGCTCCCAGCACGACTGCCCGAGTCTGCGGCGCACTAAGGCCCATTTGTCTCAGGGCACTCGACCTAATCGTAAACAGACTGTCGTATCGTTATCCGTAACTGGCAGCGTTTTAGTGTGACCAGCATTACGGGCAGTCAGCTGTTTGTGGTGGTGATTACATCAGTCGGTGCACGGCCCCGGCCAAGGTCGGATGTACTCAGATGTACTGTTCAGTGTTTACGTTTGATCACTGAGAAGAATACAGCGTCAGCCAGAACTGCCAGTCTGTCACGAGACCCAGATGTGACAACGTGGCGACCAGGATGAGATTATTTTGCTTTAAGTCGTGGTAATCGTGAGGCGGCCGGAAGAGGCCAAGAAGATGGCGCCGACAGGACAGACGCCAGTGAAGTTCGCGGTGAGTCGGTGGCGCTCGGGGCCGGAACCGATGGCGGACAGGGAGGCCGGCCAGGGACAGTGACAGAGGCAGAGCCGGGGTGCGCGGTCGAGCGCAGGCGAGCCGAGAAAGACTGAGACGGCGGTCAGTTCACGGGGTGGACGGTGACGCGCCGAGTTGGGCGGCGGTGGTCCTCTGAACTGAACTGGCGGTGTCAGGTCCGAGTGGTAGCTCGAGGACGGCGCAGGGTCTGGACACTAAAGTGCGCACGTTAAATTGGGTACGAATGTGGGAACTTGTAAATAAATCGCGGAAATACCACAATCTATTTAATACTGGAGACTCGGATGCTGTACGGGAGGGTATATCGCGGCTCACACACGTCCGGTACCTACAACACAATAGAGTCGTTTAGCTGAGTATTTTATTTAGGAGCTTTCGCGCTGTACGACGTACGACATGCGTCAGCGACCGGTTGTCGACCACCGCCTCCAAACATTGACGCAGCACCTGCGGCTGCACCGGCGGACGCGCCGCTACCTCAGCGGTTAGCCGGTGAGCTTGGGTCCAAGCTTCCTCAGCTCGGGTCTCGGCCGAGCTGATGGCAGCTTCCGCGCTTAGGATTTGGCGGCATAGTTCCACCTCCTGCCCATCAACTCGAGCCTCTAGGGAGGCGATGCGCTCCAGGAGCCGCTCAGTCTCGGCCCGAGCCCGGGACTCCTGGGCTCACCGGGCCGCCTCCGCGTCGACAGCGGCACGGCGGGCCGCTGCAGCCTTCTCCTCGGCCCTCCTCGCCCGTCGCCGCTCCTCCGAGGCGGCTGCCTCAGAGGACCGGAGTTGGGTCCCCAGGTGCTCTACCAGTCCGGCCAGCCGCGCTCAGTCCTCGCTAGGGAGGTCTTGGAAGGGCGGCAGCAGCAATAATGCTGCCCGCACCACTTCCATTGCGGTCCGCCCATTCCGCCTCGTAGCCCAGCGGACGTACTCCGGGCCGTGGTCCCGGAGTACCGTAGCGCAGATGTTCACCCTGTAAGCGGACAGGCCGGGGTACGGGAGGGATTAGAATAGATCACTATAATTGAATCGAATGCGGGACCAGAATTATGGCGCTAAATTATAAGGGGTGCGTTGATTGAGATAAGCATCAAATTAAAAAACTACCAAGTGACTCGAACACAACACGTACGTAAATGAAGTGAGGTAATAGGAAAGAGTAAAGAAAGAAAAAGCAGCGCTGACCATGACTCACCTCGACAAGAATTCGTCGCCCGAGTGCCGGTCGGGATGCACCCGAGCCTGTAGGCGTCGGACACGCCTGGCCAGATTGGCCCGGAATTCCGGGCTCGAGTCCACCGCGTCCATGTTAATACCGAGAACCAATTCCGGCAGCCACCGTAGCCGGCCCTGCTCATGGCAGAGGAGTAAGAGTCAGAGTCGGGACGAGTTCGCGGTTATTGAACCATCGATATCACCCTACGCCGCGGGAGTGGTCCTAGTGCCGAAAAAGTCTGGAGAAACTCGGTTTTGCGTCGATTACCGAGGCCTCAATGACCAAGGCAGACCATAACCCTCTCCCGCTGGCCAGAAGCGAGATCTTTGACACACTCGGCGGGACTCAGATTTTCAGCTGTCTCGACTGCCAGCAAGGCTACTGGCAAGTCAGTGTGGCAGAAGAGGACCGTCCAAAGACAGCATTTCGGTGTTTTCTTGGCCTTTTCCACTTCCTCCGGGTGCCATATGGACTCCGCCACGCGCCGGCTACCTATCAGCGCCTCATGGCTCACGTGCTCTCAGGATACACAGGGAAATTTTGTCACTGTTTCATCGATGACATCATCGTCTTCTCCAACAACTTTGAGGAGCATCTGGAGCACATACGCCTCGTCTTCGAGCGCCTAAAACAAGCTGGCATCAAACTAAAACCATCAAAATGCGTGCTCGCAAAGGAACAGGTCCAATACCTGGGTCACCTCATCTCACCCGGACAGCTCCGCCCCGGCCCCGAAAACATCAGTAAGATCTGCGACCTGGACGCCCCCTCAACTGTCAAGGAAGTACGTAGTTTCCTGGGGATGGCTTCGTACTATCGAAGCTTTGTGAAAAACTTCAGCAGGCGGGCCTGGGCTCTCACGGAACTCACTAAGCAGAACACACCCTTCCAATGGGGCCCCAAGGAGCAAGAGGCGTTCACAGCCTTGAAGGATGCTCTCACCAGCGAACCAGTGCTGGCGCTCCCAGACTTTTCAAAGCCGTTCATTCTCATGACCGACGGGAGCTCAACCGAATTGGGTGCGGTGCTCGGACAGCAGTACGAAGGAGACCCCAAGGAGAAGGTCATCAGCTACGCTTCGAGACGTACCACCCGACTGGAGGAGAACTACTCGGCCTGTGAGCTTGAGTGTCTCGCTCTTGTGTGGGCCACTCGCCAGTTCAGAGAATATATCCTGGGACGTCCAACGGAGGTGGTTACGGACCACTGGGCCTTGAAATGGCTACATGACCTGAAGAACCCGAATCCAAGACTTCAGCGGTGGCGTATGGCGCTGCTGGAGTGCGACCTCAAAATAACATACAAACCCGGAAAGCAGCACCGGAATGCAGACTTCCTATCACGAATGTACGAAGGAGAGAGGCGACACAAATGAAGGGAAGAAGAAACGTGACAAGAGCAAGGGAGGAACTGCAACGAAGGGGAAGGAACAGGAGAAGCCCCGGACGACATGCTGGGTGTCATGGCAGTAATCACTCGAAGACAGGCCCAGCAGGATCAAGGGGCAGCAGAAGACCAGAACCCGGGGCACTGTGAAGGAGACGGAGCGGTCAAAACCACCCCAACGGGAATGGGAGGACGGACCTTCGCTGACCTCCAGAAGGATGACCGCGACTGTCATCAGCTGAGAGAGGCCGTAGCACAAGGAAGAGAGCTCCCCTCGTGGACACGAAGACATCAATTCCGAATAACACAAGACGATATCTTGGAGCGGGTCAGCAGCACCAAACACGGGGAGGAGAGGTGGCAGGTGGTGCTACCCCAAGTCCTGGTAAAATCAGCGGTACAGGACGCCCATTCTGGACACCTCAAGGCAGGCAAAACCCTCGGAAATTTGAAAAGGAGCTTCTTCTTTAGAAACATGTACACCATCTGCAACAAATACATTGCGGGCTGTCCGACGTGTCAAAGCAAGGATCGTGGACAAAGACAGTAAGTCCCTCTTGGAGACATGCCTCAACCACTTGGGGTGTGGCACACGGTGGGTGTTGACGTGCTCTGGCCTCTGCCTCAGACAAAAACGGGCAAGAAGTACGTGGTGGTACTCACTGACTACCTGACACGGTACGTCCTCGCAGAAGCCACCACAGACCAAACGACTGAAACTACGGCAGAAGTACTCATGAAAAAAAAATCTGGAATACGGCCTCCCCGAACGGACCATTACCGACGGCGACAACGGAACAAATTTTTACATCCAATCTCATTAAGGAGATGTGCAGACTCCTTCAAGCCGCGCATTTGTTCACCACCCCATATCATCCGCAATTTGACGGGCTCTGTGAGAGATTTAATCGAACTCTGGCCTCAATGCTGAGGGGTTGTGTGGAGCACCATCAGCGCGACTGGGATAGTTACCTCCCATACCTCTTGCATGCCTACCGGGATGCAGCCCAGGAAAGCACAGGTGAAACACCGTTCTACCTGATGTTCGGGAGGCCCTGTCGTGCGCTACTCGACCTCCGGCTGAGGAGCAGACGGCTGGATTTTCCGGACCCCGCAACAGAAGTGGAGCACATCAAGCCCGGCATGATCGTGCGCATGCATCAGACATTCGCTGACGTGCAATCTCATCTGACTGAAGAACGCTCGAGATAAGCAAAAACACCACCATGACAAGCGAAGTCGAGAGCGACACTTCCAAGTGGGAGACGAAGTTCTCCTCCTGCGGCCGATTTCATAAAGGTTTGGTAGTAATTTACACCTAGGTGCATTTCTCACCCCTCAAAACTACAACCACACTGAGGGAGCGGTTTCATAAAGCTCGGAGGGCATAAATTTCGGCAGTTGTAGTTTTCTGCTTGCTTTGATTGCATTTTACTACCAACAGAACTTTAATAAATATTTTAATTCTGTGAATTATCAAAGTATTAATATAAAATTACTTAATTGTTTTAATTTATCAATAATAAAATTAAATATGATGTTTGAAACAATAATCAATAGGTAATCAGACAAAAATGTATTTGCTTTTCTTGCATTAGGAATTGTAATCAAAAACAATCGTCCAAGGCCATAGAGAAACTACTGCATTCATTTCGGCCGGCTGAATGGCTGAATTAGGTTCAGGGTATTGATATATAAATACCTTTTGTACATTGATTGCTTGGGTGTTCATTTGTTTCTGATATATATGTTTCAGTGTTTGATTTATGTTTTGATGTGTCCAAACGATGAGAGCGTCGCAGTGAAACAATAAGCTGCCCAAGGTTTGGCCTTGGTTGTGGTTGAGTTTCAGTTTGGTTAGAAGGCATAGCGCCTCTCCTTAGTTGCAAAAACGAGTGCGACGACTGCTAGTGCTGACTACTGAAATGTGAGTATTACATCACTTGCCTCACACAGCTTTTGCTAATTGATGATGTGGGTACTGGGTAATCCACAGCAACTGGTGTCAGTGTTCATGTGTTACTGTTACGACATAGTTGATGCAGCAATGCAAAGTATCTCCTACCATGAATTAACAACTCAATCATCTGCCAAGGTTACTGGTCAGGGTGGCAACATGAATGGTTTTGAGTATAAGGATGATGAAACTATTTCAGGCTATGTCAATACAAAAGTGGACTAAAAAGTGTGTCATTCTGATTCCGTAAAAGCATTTGCAATGACTCATTGGTAATTTGAATTGCTGTGTCTTTTGTCAAAATCCCCATAAATATTTCTATTGACAAAGTACACTGTACAGGTATTTTGCTTGTAGTAAGTACGGATACTGCTCAGATGCTGTCACCCGTTTGTGCAAATAGTCTCCAGACTTGTCAGTTCTTGAGATATTTACACAAAGTCTAACAGAACAAAACATGCCTTATCTAACCTGACCCAACTTTACCTTATGGCTTATAACCTAAAACCTACCACCTACCAACCTACCACCCAGCAACCTACAAACCTACAACCTACTGCAACTTTTGGTGAAATTTGTATAAATATCTTCAGAACTGGCGAGTCTGGTGACTTCACAATGGCAGCACCGGAGCCACTAGCTAAGCTATAAGATTGCCAACAGCCAAAGTAAGGTTGTTATTAATATCCTTAATCCTATTTTCCAGCTGCTGAAAGGAAGACTGGAGGGCCTTTAGCAGCAGTAGCAGTGGAACTTGGAAGGCTGCCTTGAGGCTGCCTGGCTGGCCTCTACAACAGAGACGAAGTTTAGAAGTAATTTGTCAACAATGTTGTCCATGCTGCAAGAGGTGAGACCATGTGCCTATACTTTATTACCTAGGGTGGACGTATGGTAGGCAGTTTCCCATAATTTGTGGGTTTGGGAGGGAACAGGCAAACATTTAAATAAAATCATTTTGCACTAATCTCTGGCTTTTGAGAGCAAGTTTCCACTTCCAATTTTACCAAGAAAAACATTTGCATGTCTAGTCATTAGTTGTATGGCTGTATTACAGTGATGTATTGGGAAAGAAGTTAACAAAACGTGATGACGTTGTTAGTGCATTCAAAGATCTAGTACCGTTTGTCATTAGATTGTAGGTTGGTACATTTGTTGACATGAACCTAACAAATTAAACAGGCTGGCATTTTAAACAGACTAACAGTCTTACTGCCATAATTGATTACAGGCACCGGTTGTTTTCAGTCAACCTCAAGTTTTGAGGCAAACATTTCACATTTTTTATTGTGTTTCAGTTGTGCTAATTGTGTTCCAGCTTAGGTATAAGGTCTTCAGAATGCAAGCTGCACGCATGTTGCAGGTGGCTGACGAGCACCAACCAGCGTGTGCAGCAGCCGTTCCGTTGTAAACGGTGCGCTGACCGCGGAGCCGGGGGTTGTCGACCGCCGGCTGGCACTCACCACCGTCCACCCAAAGCTGGCCATCATCGACTGGCTCGAGAACACCAGCACGCTGAACCAGTTCATCAGCTCGACGTGCCCCGACTTCGAGCAGCAGTGCGCTGAGACGCGCGAGCTGTTCACTGGGAGCAGATGAAGCGACATGGGACTCAGAGCGGCGCCACTGACGTGCAGCTGCAGCTGATCGGAATCGACAGGACACGTGTTCGCGGCTCGGCCACCACTCATCAGCCTGCTGCCCCTGCCGTTCCGTCTGACGGCGCCGATGACCGGGCTGGCGGCGTCTCTCGACGCGTCCGGCCACACCCGGCTGCAGGCGCTGCGCTCGTCGCTTTGGGTTGTAAATGCCGGCGAGCAGTGAGGGTTGCCTCGCTGAGTCGTGTGGGCGCTCCTCACTGTAGAGGTCGCTGTGAGCGCTGTGCTCCTCTTCGACCAGAGGATAGGTGGCGGTAGCGGTCGGTACGCAACCAGCAGCGTACTGACACGTCATAGACCGATTGAAAGTCTTCAGTGCGTTATGAATATGGCGCGGGTAGCTCGATTCCGGCGGCGGCGTGACACGGTGACCCCGTGACCTCTAGCCGTGTCGGTCCGTGTGCGCGGCCCATTCGCCCCCGACTTGGGTTGTCGATGGCGGCTGCCGGCGCCCTTAAAATCGTACGTGTTTTAGATAAAAAGGGAAGACTTTAGTGATAGTGATGTTAAAAGGTATAATTTATTTTTCTAATGATTTTATTGCGTGCTTTGGCTGAGTGTCTTGATTTAAGTTTGTTTGCTTTCAAATTTACGATAATGCAACAGCACAGGGTCAAAAGGCGGTTAACCCGCGAGTTGCTGGGGGGGGGGGCGTTAAACGCCCCCACTTTTTTCGCCGGGCCATAGCATAAAAACGGCGCGCCGCAGGCGCGCCAAATTTTGGGTACCTGTAGGGAATTGATTGAAGTTTATTGTGACAAAGTTTCAAAAAAATCGGTCGGAAAGTTTTTGAGATATCGAGGTTTTAGTGACGTCATGATTTCTGAGTTTTCGACCAAAAACGGCATATGTTCAAAAAATCATATAAAATCACAGAATAGAAATACAGACATGCCGTAAACGCCATTAGACTGCCAATACCATGATGAATCAAATGGCTATCTTCGATTATTGATTATCGTTCCGCATTTTCCAAAATCTTGAACTGAATCTTGGCAATTTTTCGTGACTACTTCACGACCATGATACATGAATTTGTTAAATTGAAGTTTTTGAGCCAAACACGTACACATATGATAAAATTAATGTCACCATCGTGTTCTACGCCCCAAATTACCTATAAAACATGTGTCACAGGCTGCTAATATCAGTTTTGATTTTCGGGGATATGTGCCTACCCGGTTGACCTGACCTTGACCCTGACCTATGCTTGACTGACCCCTCTATGGAGCTGACACTCTTGTGGTCCTTATAGGGTGGGTTGTGCACCGTTTTGACAGAGTTTATGGCGAGAGGCGCCCATTGCGAAGTCCTGAAGTCCATGCTACTGAAAGCCCGATTTCAGGTGTTTGACCTGACCTTGACCCGACCTGTGACCTCAAAATTCAACTTTAAAGTACTCATCTGAAGCGTCTCGTCGCGCTCTTTCGTTTGCCGCCTCGTGCGTTTCGCTGCGCCTATTGGTTCTCGAGTTATCGGCTGGGGGCGTTTAACGCCCCCCCCCCCCCAGCAAACGGTGGGTGGCGAAATACCCCAGCAACTGCCGGGTTAAGACGTAGAACAGTAGCTGTTACATTGGGCTTTGTACGCGAGCCGGCCGGCCGAGTGATTACTGCGCGCGCGCGCGCCGTATAAGAGATACTGATTCGGAGATAGGGGAGAGCGGGGCCAGTTGAACCACTTTTTATATATTGACATGCACAGCGAGATCTAGTTGTCATATCGAAAAATGCACAATGCCATGAAAAAATATGCTCTTTTGGCTTTATTTTAAGATATGTAAAATTACGTTTCAAACATATTTTGCTGCCAAACGCATGCTTATAAAACAGCTCTACGCCCGTTTCAAATGACCCCGATGCGAGGGTCAATTGAACCAGCCCATGGGGTCAATTGCACCTATCCTTAACAATGGGATGTTTTCCTCTTTAAGGCCACTTTCTTAAGGAGATATTTTGTCCGGTTCACTTTTCCCAATGCTACATTCAATAGGTCGTTGGAAAGCTAAAAGTGCAAAGTTCCTCATAATAGGTGACATAAAGTACATAGACTATGGTAAAATGGGCGGATGAGGAAAATGAGAAATATCTCAGGCTATAGTGTGCTTTCAAGCAAAAGGCTGGAGAAAAAGGGGTCAAAAATTGATCTCTATGAAACTACTATTTCAGTTTAAAAGCTCATTTCAAAGGTGGACTATTTCCTTTAATGTTTACAGCCCCTGAACAATAACCATTGCAAAGGTCACCGGGGTCCATTGAAACGGCCTGTGGCCCTGTTTCAACTGACCCTCAGAGAAGCGTTTCAATTGACCCCATCCGCTCCCGCCATCTCGCACGCGCCGTAAAGCACATGTCAAACAAGCTGGAGGGACTGCATCATGCTGAATGAAGGGCCAAATATGGTGTTATTCCGGAGCCAGGAGTTCTTCTTTCAGCAAACAAAGGTATATGAGATATCACAAAATATTCATAAAAACGATTTCTCCCAAACGCCCCTCAAAAACACAAAAACAAGTGTCAAATCAAAATTACCGTCCGTTTGCCGCCCAAACGCCGTTGACAAAGGAAGTGGTCGAGCGCGGATGCGCAGTGGTGTCGGCAACGCCATATGTTGCATACTGTTGAAAATAAAGCCATGTTTCATCTGACCCCGTGTTTCAACTGGCCCCGCTCTCCCCTACTGATTTCCAAGATCGTCGAGCGCCAAGTTCTGCGATGGCAATATCTCCTGAATATAGTGAACACTGAACACAGCGGCAGATGACAACGCCTTGACAATTGTTTTCGTCGTAATACGTGCTACTCAAAGAATGCCACGAAGGTGTGTCGTTGCTTTATTTCCTAGTCCGCACATCTGAGATCGTTTGAGACAAGTGTTTGAAGTTTAACCGGAATCGCTCTGATAGCTGCGATGCAAATTCCAACAGCTGTTATTCTACTGATGAAAAGGTAATTATGCTATTGCTGGCCATGAATTATGAATAAATCACAAATTTTGTAAAAGCAAGGATTGTTTCCGACCGGACCAAAGCACACATTTTCAGAAATTTTGGCGGGTGGGGTAGGAAAGGGACGCAGCCGGCCGCTGACTGCACGTTCAGGTGCGTCGTGGCGTCGCTAATGAAGTACACCGTGCATATGTTTACCACCAAGAAATTCATGCATTGTGATATAAAATAAACAATGAAACAATTCCAAACGTAACCACCCAGACAGACGCCGATCCGCCCCCAACATGGCAACACGCTAATAATTTCCTCGAAACTCGCTGAAGACGACTCGCCCACCATTTTGAGCAATATATGCCCCGCTGCGGAGGCGAATCGTTCACTCGCCCAGTCGGGGACGCAGCCGGCCCCATCACACAGTGTCAGACACTGAAACGGTTTAATATAGGCGGTTTTGCACAGTCTGGTCCAACTATTATGGGACGCGCTTGCCGCGGGCGCCGCAGTGCTGGCACACGTGCAGCGGAGCCGCGTGTCCGTCCACGTTCTCGCTGGCGCCGATCTGCTCGATCAGCGACAGTATCCGCTGGGCGGCCTGCTAGCGCGCCACCTCGGCCAGGGCGAGCGGACCGCTCAGCTCGGTCGGGGCGGCAGCTTCTCGTGCTCGGCAGAGTCCACAGCGCCGCCGCCCATGAACTGCTGCAGCCGTGCGCGCAGCTCCTTCTGCTCTCTAATGACGTCCTCATGGGCGGCCGCGGTCCCGGTGACTGGATGCGGCTGGAGAGGTTCAGAGATGCGCGCGGAGGCCACTCCAGCGCTCCGGGTTCCAACACGGAACCGGCAGCGGACGGCACGGCCGTGGTGTGATGAGCCAGGACGGCTTCTCCTGATATGCCCTCTGCATCAGCTGGCTGGTCACAGCTGGCGCGCTCTGTGGGACACGGACACCGTGTTACAGTTAGATGATCCACTAACGTGTTATCATGGGACAAAAAGGGAGGTGTAAGATGCAATGCTCTGTGGCGTGCTCTATTGGAAGAGCGGGAAAAGTGTAAGATGCTGCTATGGGACATGGAAGCAGGTGTAAGAGAAGAAAATCTGCCCGAGCTACCACATGCAGATTTTCTTCTCAAGATGCAGGGCTGGAAAATGATCAAAATCACTTCATGTCATATTAACAGTTGGCCGCATGTGAGACACCTGTTACAGTGACAGCGGAAGTTGGTGAGGCAAAAAGATGTCAAACCTACAATATCTGACTGTTACCTACATAGAAAAAAAGCTACACTATCCATTTTTTCAATACCTACAAAATAATGATAGGAATACAATGACACTTAGAAGCTCTGCTCATTGCAAATGACGTCGAATTGAAAAGCAACAATGACCTACCTACCTCCAACTTACTAACCTACTACAAACTATCAACCTACAACCCATTCAGACAAACCTTTTGTATACTAATACCAGAAGCATCTTTGGGTATAGTAACTCACCTTGGTTGGAAGACCTTCAATTGATGTAGGTATGCACTCGCAATACTGACAACTTTGACTTGAGACCAGTGAACCTGTTGACGATGACGGGCAAAAGGATTAATATAGGTACATATGTAGTTGTAGCTGACAATTGACATATCAATATTACACATCACTTGTGGCAAAAAGCATTATCACACTCATTTTATATGTTACCATGTTGAAGAAAGAACACTCAAGTGGTTCCCTGCAAACTGTCAATCTCAAATCTTATCAACTCCTACAACAGCAAATATTTGCCAACAATACATTTTTACGGTCTACAAACAAAGTATTACTTACTGCCTTGTGCCTTCAAAGCTCCTGATTCTTGGTCAAATAGTTATTTCAAAATAAATAGGTAGAAAATTCGATTCACTTCCACACTTCGATGTTCAAGACAACTGTTGATGTCAAAGTTTGGTCAAATTTATGCAGCTCAGAGCAACGCAGAATTTTGTGGGATATCAAGAACATGAAAAATTACTTGAGTGTAAAATGCATCGTTTTATGAAACCGATCTGCTGCATTTCTCTCCAAAAACAGCTGTTGGGCATAAAAGTCGACGTAGTAGAATTTCGGTCGCAAAATACAACCCCGTTTTCTTTATGAAACCGCTAGGGCATAAAATCCGGCAAAAACGGGTGGGAAATTGCGCCGGATGTATTTTACTACCTTTTATGAAATCGGCCGCTGGATGAAAGAGTGACTGAGGGACAGACCAAAAAGCTCCACCCATCCTGGAAACCAGGATACCGAGTCATCAAAGTCGTAGGGCCGTTAAACTACCACATAGAACACCCGAGCAGACGTGGAAAGATCCGCCGTGTTCACGTCAACCGCCTAAAACGACATATACCCGAATATGTTTGGCCAGAAGAAGCTCTGCCTGAAGAAATCCAACAACAAGATGGTGCTGAGAACCCACCCAACCCTGGGCAGCAAGTGGACAACTGACTCCAAGGGAGCAAACACCGACCGGGCCCACTCGATCACAATTCACAG